TAAACAAGTTAAAGAAAAGATTTGAATGTAAAAGTCAAAGTAATGTACTGATTATGACACATTCTACTGTGGTTGACTTAAATGATTAAGGAAACTTTATTTGGTTCACAAAAGTTCTAAAACCAAACATAGTTTAATGTTATACTATAGATATTGTGATATTATAGAATCCCTTCATTTAGTATTGTATTCTGCAAGAGTTAACTCTCCAAAATATGATCAAGAGTCTAGTTTTGCTTCTATGCTAAAAGGTTTAAAGGATAGTATCAATTCTGGCACCTGGCCATCCTTTTTATATATGAATACTATCATTCATCAAGAATCCTCCAAATTTATTCCATTTGATAAATACCAACCCCCAGCATGAAAGTGACCTGTTCCAAATTTCTAAAGAAACAAATCCTGTTGTCTGCAATTTTATTGTTGTGTTAACTATGCAAAAGTATGAAATTTCTTTTTCTGATATTGAAACTTTGGACATTTCTTTATAGCTCTAATTTTTAGGAGACTTTTCACATCTTTCATAATTTTTTTTTGTCTCTGAAGGCCAGTGTAGTTATCCTTTTCATATGATAAATTATGCATTGATTTATTCCTATAGCCAATCTGATGATTTAATGCAATTAACTCTGAAATTGCCTTGGTGAGAGTTATTTTAGTGATTCTCATAAACATCTTTTTCTGGGGTTTTGGATAAATTGACTTTGGAAGAGTTTGCATAGCTTGACAAAAGGTTATTTTACTGTAACTTCAATATAGTAGACAACATAAATAGTGGTAGCCCCTATGCAACTGTTACTGGAAGTCCCAGTGGGTGGATTGGGATTTCTATACAAGCTGTACAGTCCAAATCTAAATTACTTATTTCTTCTATGCCAAGTTCAACATTTCATTCTGAATATTTTAATTTAGTCCATATTGATCAAAATTGGGAAATTCACGATGATTCAGAAAGACTTTTAACTAGGATGTTAATTTCATAGATGACATTTACATAGGCAGCTTGTCTGCATTGAATAACATTTCAGATTCAGAATTCTCTGATGTTGATTAATGAGTGAATTGGGTTTAATTTGGTGTTATATCATTCTTAATGATTTTTTCTTATTCTTCCATCTTGCAGGTGAAAGCCATGCCCAACAGGATTGTCACCAGCAGGATACCAGGATGTTATATTTAGCTTGAGATTATGGATATATATATAAGATGTATTATGTACAGAGATCTTAATTATGGGTTCACCACACCACGAAGTGGTGGTGAACCCATATTGCTTTTTCTGATGTTTCTTCTTCTTCTTCTCCTCCTCCTCCTTCTCCTCCTGCCATTTTTTAAATGGATTCAGCTTCTTCATTTTAGGGCCTAAGGTCCTGAAATTTGGTATGGAGGTACAGTGGGCAAATACCCCTAGGCGTTTTTTAAATTTTTGTGATACAGGCTTTTACAATCGTTTTATTTGCTTTTTTAGCGGTCCCCATAGGAAAGTACTGTGCGGGGGCGTACGCGCGTGACGTAATAAGAAAGAAATTCGGCGGCATGCCCATATATGGGCATGCAAGCATGAACCTGACGCAGCCTAATCTTTTCTTCTTGCTGATTGGCTGTTGGATTTGATTGGATTAACTCAATTAACACCTGTTCAAAGCCATTCCATTTTGACAGTATGAACTCAAGTGTTTTGGTAGGTACAGCACAGGCCACGAAATACGCATCAATTTTCGAGGGACGTTCTGCGGGAGAGTGCAGGACGCTGTGCGGGACTTCCCTCGGGAGAGTGCGGGACGTCCTCCGGGAGAGTGCGATACGTTCTGCGGGAGAGTGCGGTACGTCCAGCGGGAGAGTGCGGTACGTTCTGCGGGAGCCAGACATTTTGCTCTTCTCTGTTGGAACAACGCAAGTTGGAGGTCAATGACCTGCGCCCGGCGTGTAAACAAGATTGGACAGGGAGCGGCTGTAATATCAAAGGAGCCGGCGGCTTCTGCTAGCCGGGTTGATAGTTAAGTAACATCAAGGTGGTTCAAAAGCAAACCTGATAAAGAAGGAAACCCCGTTGAAAGTCTTGGTGGCTTGAGGCGATCGATACCGCCATGCTGTTTACTTTTATGTACATACAATGCAGTGAGTGATGTGTATCGCACCGAGTTAGCTCGGTTGGAAACGCGCAAGGCGGCAATCCCAGGCATTGCAAGTTCGAACCCCAGTGCATCGGACATAAATATTTTTAGCAATTTAACATTTTTAACAATTTTATAATTTTAACAATTTTATCAGTTTTAACGATTTTAACAATTCTGCATTTTAACAATTTCAACATTTTTTTATTTTCGTTTGTTTTGTCTTTTAACTATTCTAAAAACTAG